GATAGAGGGGTGGATGGGGATAGATCGATAGATAGAGGGGTGGATGGGGATAGATAGATAGATGGGGTGCATGGCAATAGATAGACAGACAGAGTGACCCAGGGGATGTGTAGGGATAGATAGATGATAGATGATATGGGGCTGGACAGACACACAGACAGGAGGCGGGCAGAAAGAGAGATCTTGAGGAATGGGCAGCTCATTGGGATGGGGAGAGGGGCCTCCCGAACTCCCCAGGGGGTGCCCCCCCCCGCCCCGTGGCATTGCCCCAGGGGGCCCGGCTCTGTGCGCTCGGGGGGGGGGGGGTCTCAGTACCTGTGGCCGGAGTTTCTGCAGCAGCACGATGGACTCATGGGAGAGGAAATCCGGCCACTCGACGTGGCCCTTCTTATCGGGGTCCAGTGCGGAGAACTGCAGGGCAGCGCGCTCCTCCTGATCCTCGCTCAGCGGCCTCTCGAAGTGGCGCTTGTGGACCAGGTGCTTGTAGTGCAGGAAATTGTCCTGTGTCAGGCAGGTCTCTGCAAGGCCAAGCCGGGCGCACGTCAGCCCAGTGCTGCGCGGCGCTGCCGAGGGCGGCCGTGAAGCGCCCAGGGGAGAGCACTGACCCGCGGGTCCCCAGTCACGCAGCCCCTTGCACCTGCTGGGACCTGCAGCCAGGCCTCCCGTGGTCCCCTGGCAACCATCGATGACATCACAGGCACACTCTGCATTGTGCACCTGTGATGTCATCGATGTGGCCAGGGAAACATGGAACCCGAGTGTAGGTCTTGACAGGTGAATAAACAAGAAGCAAACCGGGGCCCAAACTCTTGCTCACCTGCTGGCCCAGGGCTTTCAGGACTGGGGGTGCGCTGCTGGAATTCGGGGTGCCTGAGTGAGGCTGTAGGTATCCCACATGTGTGCAGCATGGGCCCAACTCTGGACTTGCCAACCCCGGTCTCTCTGCTTGAGTTAAAGGAGAAACTCCACCCGCCGTCAGCAGTAGTAGAGCTTTTATTGTCTGTAGCCCCTAGGGGGCAGCAATATACACACCCAGGGGCCAGCACGTTGCAGGGTGAGGTGAAGGGCAGCACTCACCGGGGATGATCTTGCATTGCTGGAAGGTCTCCATCAGGCTGTACATCTCCTCCTCCGTCAGCAGGAGGTTGAGGTTATCCTGCCGCAGGGAGAGACGTTCAGAGAGAAACACCCAGGGGTTAGTTAGTACCTGGAGAATAGCCCCTGGGGCTCCACCCCAGCTGCCTGGCAGGATCCGTAATCCCGCCAGGGACTTTGCCGGCCCCATCGCCGCAGCATCTGGCGCCTCCCAAGCGTTTAGCCATGGAAATACGGAGAGCCACCTGTCTGTCTCTTTCTCCCTTCCCACCGTGCAGTGGAAGGAGCTCCGTGCGTGGGTACTGTGTTTCTGTGTGTGCACACACATGTGAGCGTGGAGGGGTGTGCATGCAGTGCGGTGTCCCGCAGCAGGGTCGAGAAGGATTTAGCAAGGGAAAGCCGAAGTGACAAAACAGGTTTTGCATTTTGTTCTGAACTTGGCGAGGCCTGTTGTCAGGTTATTAGAGTGAGTGCAGGGCTGCGGCACGCTGGTATGTTATTGTAGGGTTGTGTGGGAATGCGGGGACAGGGCACGCTGGTGTGTTATTGTAGGGCTGCTCGGAAGTGCGGGGACGGGGCACGCTGGTATGTTATTGTAGGGCTGCTCGGGAGTGCGGGGTGGGGCACGCTGGTATGTTATTGTAGGGTTGTGTGGGAGTGCGGGGACGGGGCACGCTGGTGTGTTATTGTAGGGCTGCTCGGGAGTGCAGGGACGGGGCACGCTGGTATGTTATTGTAGGGTTGTGTGAGAGTGCAGGTGAGGGGGGCACACCAGTGTATTGTTGTAAGGCTGTGTGGGAGTGACATTGTCTGTCTGGGCTTGGTGGAGGCTGACGCCGTCTATCTGGGCTGAGGGGGTGACGCCGTCTAGCTGGGCTGGGGGAGTGACGCCGTCTGTCTGGGCTCGGTGGGGGCTGACGCCGTTTCCCGGGGCTGAAGGGGTTGTGGGGGGGACACACAGGGTTTTGGTTATGGGAAGCAGAGCCTCTGCCTTGTGGGTCTGGGCCCAGCCAGGTGCCTCCGTCAGCCTCTGGCTCCTCTCCTGTGCCCCATGGGGCAGCGGGGCCCTGGTGTAGGCCCGGCCTCGGCCTCGGGGCAGGTCAGGGCGCAGTTTACAGCATGGGGCAGGTGTCAGGGACTTGCCTGCTGCTGCCCGGGTGGTGCCTGCTGTGGGTGTCCCCAGCTCGGAGCTCTCTGCCCACCATTTGCACGGTTCCCCGGGGAGCCATGGGGCCCGGTGCTGGCCCTAGTGCAGCGGCCAGGCCAGGCCCCCCCCGGGGCCACACTCACGCAGTAGTAGCAGCTCCAGCCTGTCTCGGTGTGCGCTGTCTCCGTCACCTCCACGGCGCTGCTGTTGTGCAGGAAGCCCATGCGGCGCAGACAGCCGTCGTGGTAGACCCGGGTGCACACCCTGCAGGGGAACAGGCTCTCTGCCGTCCACACCTCGCAGATCTCACACATCTCGTCACTGCTCACCTGGGCGTGGCAGGCGGGAGAGACGGGGGGAGTGAGCAGGGGGGGTCACACAGACCGCCTCGCCCCCCCCCCCGCCCCGCATTCCCTTGGCCTGCAGCCCTCGGCCTGCCCGGGGCAGCAACGCAGGGTGCAAGACCCCGAGGCCAGGATCAGTAACTAGCGAGGGGGCTGTGTGCGGGGAGAAGGGGACTCAGCTCCTGTGGGGATGGGGGCCACACGAGAGAGAGGGCAGGGGATGAATAGACTGAGGAGTACGTATGGGGATGGATGTAGGAGGTGTGTGTGTGGGGTGGGATAGACACAGGGGTGTGTGGGGTAGATGGAGAGAAGGGTGGATAGACAGGTGTGTATGGCAATGGATGGATGGATGGATGGCTGATTGGATGAAGGGGTGTGTAAGGGGAGGGATGGAGGGATGGAGGGGTATGTATGGGGAGGGATGGAGGGGTGTGTAGGGGGATGGATGGATGGAGGGGTGTGTAGGGGGATGGATGGATGGAGGG